CAACTCTTGATAATCTCCTACCTCTTTTGTCTGTAACTCACTATTATTTGTCTATTTGTTTTCCTGAGAAACTATTTTGTAGACAATAATATGTAAAATGATAACCATCGATAATTTCCTACCATTTTGTCTGTAATTTGCTAAGTCCCCCCTATTATTATGCTATCCTTCTTTTATTCTTAAAAAAAAAAAAAAAAATTAGAAACAATACAGAGTTTCACTAATCAAGACGGTAGGAATTCAACAATGGTTGTTATATTGCATAATACTGTCTTCAAATTAGTTGTTCAGATTACCAGATATAAGCATACAAAATTGGTCCAAAAAAAAAAGATTTAAGCATTAACTGTTCCTTTCAATAAACCAATAGACATCAGCAGTTCAATTATCCCAGCTATTCCTGTATGTATATTTTTTCCCTTTCTTCTTTCTTTTCTTTCTTTTCTTCTTTTCTTTTTTCTTTTCTTTTCTTTTCTTTTCTTTTCTTTTCTTTTCTTTTCTTTTCTTTTCTTTTCTTTCCTTCCTTCCTTCCTTCCTTCCTTCCTTCCTTCCTTTCTTCCTTTCTTTCTTTCTTTCTTTCCCCTCATCCCAGTTGTTCCTTCCCTTTGAGTAATTTTTTTCCTTTCATAAAATCTATTGCACCTTTTGAGTTTTATTTACTCTTTCAGTTTCTTACATTAGGGAGACAATATGACACTTACACATGTGGATCTAATTCATTTCATTTATGAGTATGGTCTCTAGTTGCATCCATTTACCTATATACATTCATTCATTCACTCATTCATTTATTTATTTACTGTCTTTTTGAGACAGGGTCTCGCTATGCAGTTCAGGCTGGCCTTGAGCTCACTTTGCAGCCTGGGCTGTCTCAAACTTGCAACAATCCTCCTGCCTCGGCTTCCCAAGTGCTGGGATTACAGGCATGTGCCACCATGCCCAGCTTATCCATTTAATTTTTAAAAATTAATTTGGTACATTTAACATCTCCATTTATAAAAATATTTTTTTGTTTGAGACAAAGGTCTGGCTATGTTACCCCGGCTGACCTTGAACTTGTGACCCTCCTGCCCTCAGCATTCCCAATAGGTGGGATTTTAGGCATGCATTGCCAGGCTGGGCTACAGAAATCTTAACAGATTAAATGTTTCACTATTTTTCCTTGGTATCCAATAACCCACTAACTGACAAAAGAAGGGGAAAAAGGAAGTGGTTAGAAAGAAAAGCAGTATTTAATTACTATTTGTGTTTTGCCAAGTATAGATACACTAATTTATATAATGAATGTTTTGCTGCTGCAATGTATGTATAACTCTTAATTTATAACTTCAGAGAAACAATTTCATTTTTAAAAAACTAACCTGTCTACTTCATCTCGAGCCACAATGTCTCCTTTCTTTAAAGCTTTTATAGCAAACATCTCATTTGTGTGTTTATATTCAGCCAAAAGCACCTGAAATAAGATTAAAATAATTATTTTCCTATGTGAGTTATTAATTTTATAGGTATTGAAAAAATTCCAAAAGATTACCTTTCCAAAATGGCCTCTACCCAAGACAGCACAACATCTGAAGTCTTGTAGATTGAACTGAAATCTCTGTTGAGATCTGAAAATAGTAATTTCAATTACAAATAAGGCCAGACGTGTAACATCAAAAATGTAACAGCAAAAACACTACAGAGTCTTTACCTTCTCTCCTCAAGTTCTCGAATACCACTATATCCTAGCCCTGAATCAGGAATATCAGACTCATATTCAGATTGTGATTTTGGAAGTATAGTATTTCTGTCATTTTCAATATCAAACACAGTTTCTGAATCCTGTAAAATATTAAATGCTCATTAAACTACAGAAACATTCATAATAATAAATTAGAAAAAAATTCAGATATTCACAATGAATAATCATTCTTTTGGACAGAAATTTTATGTTAATACTTATTTTAAAAATGCAAAATACTAGCACATTATTATCAATCATCTTCAATACATATTGTTAAGCAAGGTATAAGATAAAGAATGTTTCAGAGGCTGGGGCTGTAGCCCACTGCTAGATTACTTGCCTAGCATGTATGAGGCCCCAGCTGGGTTCAATCTCCAGCACCACAAAAAGGAAAAAAAAAAGTTAAGAACATGACATCTAATACCAGCCATGCTCCTAGGCTCCTCAGCAATTTATTCCATCTCTTATGGCCTGTTCGCATCTAGCGGCTAACTGACAATGCCACAACACCATTAAGAACTTGGTTATCTTTGGTTAACTTGGTCTAATTTAGTTAAGAACAGTTCACTTATAAGAATTATATATACACCGTTAGCAAAGGTGATTTAAATTGAAATATAGACTTTATTCATTCTGATGACTTTTATTGCTAATTCATTTGGTAAAAAGGAATTACACAAGGTTTTAAATGACTTGCCTGTCCAGGTGTATCCAAAACCCTTATTGCAGAGGATTCATCTATGTCTCCAAGGGAAGAAGCACGGGGTGGGGCCGGAGGAGGTTCAGGCTCAAGATCAAAGTCCAATTTGGTTACTGTAGAATCACTTACAGAAGACAAAGCAATTCACCAGAATAGTAATAAGAAGCACTTATTTGAAATAGCTTTAAAACAAAAGCAAACTATTTTTTTAAGCAAACAGAATCTTATTTCAAAATACTACTTGGAAAAATGGAGACTCTTAGTATAACCACTGTATTTTGTGCTTAAACATCACAGACACATACCTAGCTGATGGTGCTAGCTCAGGGATGCGTACATCAACCACTGGCACTGTAGCCGGGACAGAGGCTTGAGGGCTGAAGGTGCCAGAATGATTTACTGTGGGAATAGCTCTTCTCACTAGCCTTCCCCAAGTGGCAATATTAATGTTCATCTGAGGAGCTCTGAGAAATGTTTTGCCTGTAGATATTGTGAATAAAGAAAACAGAACAAGCAATTTATTTATATATTACCAAAAGCCATAATTTAAAAATTCATATTTACCAGTATATAATTTATGAAGAACAAACAAAATTTGTCACATAAAAAAACTAGTTCTTAACTATTTGCTATTCAAGTCAGTGCAAAATAGCATAGTAGTTCAAAAAATAAAACAGTAAAAAATTGTTTCTTTTTTTAAGTATAGTAATGATCTATATGGCTAAGGTTTTTAAAACAATTCTCATCTTTTAGAAATAGAAACTATGATATTTAAGGATGAATCAATGATGTCTGGGTTTCCTTCAAATAATGCGAGAAAATGGTGAGTAAACAGGACATAGGTAAAACAAAAGTGACCATGAATTGACTATTGCTGAAGCGAGATGATGGTACCCTGCACTTATCTTTTCACTTAGCATGTGTTTGAAATGTTTCTTAATAAAACATTAGAAAGAAATGAACTAGAAAGAAAGAAACCATACATAGATATTATTTTAAAATAACTGTATTTGCTACATTTAATAAAACACCAAAATTATTCTGTATTTGATTTTTTGTAATTACCTTGCTGTTTGGAGAAAATTTTCTTTTGTCTTTGGAGTTTTGGTCTTCTTTCAATAACTGGATTAAAAAAGGTAACCTGCAGTGAAGAAAATTCAAATTGACATGAAAATAGCACTGGATTTACGGCTCACGAAATCCACTAAACTCGTAAGATTTGAAAGCTGAAGGGAACCTTAGCTATGATTTAGTCCAACCCCTCATTTTCTAGATGAGAAAACAGACCGAGAGAAAAACTGACTTTTCTCAAGGTCACATACCTATTCAAAGGTAGGGCTGCATCAAGAATCCAAGTCATCGTTTTCAGCCTAAATCTCTTTCCACTTCTATATCATGTTGTCTACATGCATAATTTCAATGGTAGTTATGCACATTTAATAAAATATATTTATTACCTCTGCAAATAAAGTACCCTGTGGTTCCAAATAGAGACACATGCCATGGCGTTGGTTGTCTAAAAAATCTTCTAACCTCAGAAATTTTACAGCGCACAGAGATCGCCAATCACGCCAATAAACTGAAATTTCCAGTTCACGTGACTAGGATAATTAAAAAAACAAAAACAAAAACAAAAAAACAGAAGACATCATTGGACACACACTTGAATAAAGTATCACAAAAAATATGAAATACAAATAGGATAAACAAAGATAACACAAAGGTCACATTATTTTAAATGAAATTTTGTAATTTTTCTCAGATGTATATTACCTTTAACAAACACACTTTAACTAAAAAACAAAACAAAACAAAACAAAACAAAGCTTATCTTCAGACACTCTCTGGGTAAGCTATTCCTCAAACATACTTGAAAAATCTACTGGGAGCAGCCAGTCCAGATGAAAGACCACAGAGACTCAGCTTCCACCCAGCTTCAGCCTTTCTGCTCTCCTTTCCCTATGCACCATCACTTGCTGTGCTGCTGTTGAAAGACCCCAGTGCTTGTCTCAAAAAGACCACGTCAAACTTTCTTATTTCCTTATCTGACTACTGGGCCAGGGAAAGGAATGCAAATGGCATTTATCATGCACTTACAATGTGCCACACACTGTGCTAGGCACTTGAAAAATATGAGGTCATTTAATCTTCAAAGAACACCACAGGGTAGCAAGAGCAGTGAACACAGCAGCCTCCACTGCGAGGGAGGAAAGGAGAAACTGGACTATGCTTTACACAGGAAAATGCTCATTTATTATCATACACACACAGAGAGAAAATTAAGGCAAATTTAAAAGTTACAGCTTAAATTCCAAACCCTGGGATAAGTTAAATATACTATACTTATATAAGAGAATGTATGAGTCATTAAAAATAATGCTTTCTTGGGGAAACATACTTAAAGTTTTAAAAGCTATTACTAAAAGCGCTTTTAAGCTTTTCTTGGTGTTTTCTGGGACAGGATCTCACTATATAGCCCAGGCTGGCCTTAAATTTGCCATCCTCTTACCTCAGCCTTTTAAGTATTGAGATTACAAGTGTGTGCCACCATGCCCAGCTTCCTAAATGCACCTTTAGAACAATTTATAAATTGGTGTTACACAGTTATAAAGCAATTATAACATACATGTTATAATCTATATGCATTCTTGGTAATGTAGTACAAGACTCATTATTTGGTTTTTCAGAATAAAGTACAAGTTATAAACCAATTATAACATACACATTATAATCTATATGCATTCTTGGTAATAAAGTACAAGACTCATGATTTGGTTTTTTAGAATAAAGTACAAGACTCATTATTTGGTTTTTCAGAATAAAGAATTATTTTGGTTTCAGAATAAAGTACAAGACTCATTATTTGGTTTTACTCTACAAAGCAGTAAGTTACTTCTTTTATATAACAACTTTCATTTATGAACTATGCATCTTATGCTGTAAGTTCCCAGTACACATCATAAAAAATTTGACTTTAAATTATGAAACTAGTTGATGCAAAGTAGTTTCCATAATGCACACTCAGAACTGTGCCAAACCAGTGGGCTAACTTAGTAATCACGCTTAATTCCACCATCACACACACCCTTGATCCAGCCACCTTGGAAAAACCCAATATATGACTGCATGAGGCTTTTAGAGGACACCTAGACACAAGCCACAACATTCTGCTCTGGCCACCCAAACACTCATGCATATCCCTTTATGCAAAAGGCATTTATTTAGTCCACCTCCAAGAGTTTCCAAAGACTCAACAGTTTCAGCATTGCTGAAAAGTCCAATCTCTAAGATTTAAAGCAAAGTCCTAGCTGCAAGCCTCTGTACAAATGAAAAGAAAGTTGGAACACTTCCAACATACAATGGCACAAGATAAATATTCCCATTCCAAACAGTGGAATAGAAAAGAATGGGACCAAGGCAAGCCCAAAATCCAAACATTAATCTGATAGTTCCACGTCTAGCATCCAAGTTCATATCTGTGGCAAGATATGAACTCCAAAGGGCCTGTTAGCCCTATAGTACTGCATGTGGTTGCAGCTGCCATGGCTTCTCTCTTGGGCCAGCTTTGCTCACTTCTTGCAGCTTTCCTCAGATGAACCATGTTTCTGGCTTCTCCAACCTTCTAGGGCCTCCACTGCACCTTTGGCTTCGCACTCATAATTTCACAAACTGCCAACACAGGAGCACACTGCCTGGCCTCCCAGGCTTTCTTCTGAAACCTGAGTGGAAGCTTTCCTGATCCCACAACTCTTGCACTCTGCATGTACCTAAAACCAGCCCCATGTAGATGATGCCAAGGTCTGCTACCAGCTAGAGTAGTAGCCAGGCTTCCTTCTCTCTTGTCAGTAGAGGCTGAGTGCATGGATTGCTGAGTGCTGTGAATCAAATCCTGAGGAACACATTCTCTAGGCTGTCAACATTCTGGAACATAGTACTCTGGGGCTTTCTTCTCAAAGTAAAGTCTTATACCTTTGAACTCTGAGGCTGCAAATAACCAGTCCTGCTGGTTCTTGTCATGTCTTCAGGCCATTTTTCTACTGTCTCTGATCCTTTTCTGCAACTAAGTTCTCTGCTCCATCAGTATGCAACTTTACTGAAGTTTTCTTTCTGGCCAAGCTCAAAACTTTAAATCACTCAGCTGTGACTTTCAGTCTTGATTCTTAAGGTAGAGTGTTTAAAAGCACCTAACAACAGCCATGCCACTGTGTCAACGTTAGATTCCCTTGAAATTTGCTCAGCAAGATTAAATAATCTGCTCTTCTGAATCTTAGTGTCAGGATAGGGAGCAAAATGCTGACAAGTTTTCCACCACAGCATAACACACGTGGCCAGCAGTCCAACTGCCAATGCAGTCCTTGCTCCCAACTGAAACCTCATGAGCCTGGTTTTTCCTGGCTGCATTCATATCAGCATTCTGATCTGAGCTCTTGACCAGAATCTGTCATGAAGTACAGCTTAAAGCATTCCAAGACTGCTTCTTCAGCCAGCATCTCCAAAGTTTTCTAAACTCTTTCCACAAGCCAGTTCCAATGGCTCCTAAACCATGTGGTCGCATACAGCAATGACCCCATTCCTGGTATCAAAATTTCTATTAGTCAGTGCTTACTAGAGAAACAGAGTTAATGTAAGATATACAAATACATAAGAATTTACAAGATTGGCTTACAATGCCACCCACAGAGTCAGATGTAGAAGAGTGTGAAAGGTCTGTTGGTGTGCTGGCAATCTGAAGGATCCAGTTGAAGGCCTGCAGCTCATTGTAGTGTCCTGTGTGAGTTCTTACCAGGAGGTGAAGATTCTGCACTGGAAGGCTTAAAGGTCTGTGCTGGAGGCTGCAGAGTCTGCGCTAGAAGCCAGAAGACAACATCCAAAGAGAAGGCGAAGACTGGAGCTCCTCCAGAGAAACAGAAGTGAGCCTTCCTTCTTTGTTTCCCTTTTATAGCATTCTGGTGATGATCTTCCCCAGGGAAGTTCTTCCACACCCACAACTATGCTGAGCTAATTTAGTTGGCTGTTTCTTATGCACACAACCAGTTAACTACCACAGCCACCACCAAAACAGTACAACAGTTGTGAGGCACACCTGCAATCCCAATACTTGGGAGGCTGAGGTAGAAGGATCTTGAGTTGAGGCCAGCCTGGACTATACAGTGAGACTGTGTCTCAAAGACATAAAAACAAACAACAACAATAACAATAACAATAAAACCCAATCACCACCAGTACCGACAACTACAACCACCATCAGTAAAGCTGGGCATGGTGGCACACATTTGTAATCTCAGCACTTGGAAGGCTCTTCAAGACCAGCTTGGGCTATACATCAAGACCCTATATTAGGAAACAAAAATAACCACCCCCCCCAAACAAACAGAGGAACCTCTTTTCTCTTAATATTTGTATTTTTTCTCTCCAAAGTACTGAAGTTCTTGGACATAAACACCAATTAGTAACTATTTCTTAAATGGAACTAGTGTATTTCTTTTGGTCTAGAGACAAACCAAAAAATTTTCAGGTAATGTGAACTGAGAAAATTTGGAAACATGTAAGAGGAAAGGACAGCGAAGCACCACTGCTGAAAACAAAAGACAAAAATACAACCTTTCTGTTGCTTACTCAAAACATGGAAATTCAAGGGCTGAAGGAAGGAGACATTTTTACAAAGGTGCGCACAGTTGATTTTACATTTACTGGTTTTCAATGGGCTTCTTCTTTTTTTTTTTTTTTCCGGTACCGGGAATCGAACTCACGACCTTGCATTTGCCAGGCAGGCGCTTTGCCGCTGAGCTAAATCCCCAGCCCCTTCTATGGGCTTCTTGAGGTCAACACAAGCTCAGGAAATAGAACGCTTAGGGTTCCAGCAGCAAACAAGCTGCATACTGAAAAAGTTTAACTGAAGACAATTTAAGAAATTATCTACTTAAGGAAGTGTGATTCAAGTAAAGGAACGAACAAAGAACAGGAAGACTCTAAAGATTAGCAATAGTAGAAATCTACTGTTACCCATGGCCTGAAAGGCCAAGAGGCAACAGTTACCAGAATCCAGTAAGACTGGATCTTTATAGAGATGGTAGTGGCATTGGTAGCCATAGATCAACTACAAAAAGCAACCACCATCAACTTCCCTTTTCTCCTACCCTCTCATCTCCTAGTGTTTCTCACACTAAGTCTTAGCTGAATTATCCAAGACAACTTAATAGCTATTGGCTATAGGAAAAACGGAACAGGGAGGGAAGCAGCTTGGAATTTACTGGGGACAAACAGAAAACCACCAACTGAGGAATCAGTAACAGCTTTAAGTTCAGGAATCCAGTGAAGGGGATTCATGAGCTGGAGCATATGTGACAGCAAGAGGGGAACCCTGTGACCTGCTGGGGGGATAAGAAACACAGAGAGAGAGAAGAACAGGCAGGAGATGGAAACAGTGAAAAATGTAAGGCCATGACTATTGAAAAGTCAGCCTGCTAACAAGATGTGGGTGACTCTGCTTCCTTTAGAAGGAAAGAGACTGTTATGATAGAAATTATTAAGTGCTGTATCAGTTAAGTACAAGTGGTTCCTAAGTCAATTCAGATCCTCTAAAAAGTTCCAAAGCCCTTCT